ATTTTTCCTCATCAGATGGTTATCAATTTTTATAAATTCATATGATGTGATTTTCTGGAATTTTCTTTGGGATTCTGTCTTTCACTGTTAGAATGTACATATGATTAAAGTTATAGATCGTTGCATTCTTTGTAAGTGGGCGAACCTGCAAAATCAGCAAGGGGTCAAATACTCATTTCCCCCGCTGTACATATGTGTGTGCAGAGATGTGGAAGCGCTCTGGAGTGGCGGCCATGTCTTGGCCTGGCAGCTGGAACAGGCGTTCAGAGACAACTCCTCCATCTGGGCACAAAACAAGTGCGAGCAGTGGGAAATTCGGGAACAACGGCTGCCCACTTTTTTGGACCAGCTCCCGGACTGCCCCTGCACACTGGCCCAGGCCCGGGCCGACACGGGCCGATTTCACGTGAGTACGCCCACCCGCAGCCTCAGTTGTTATTAGGGATGGGACGGTTTCTGAAAACCGTCCGGACCGTTGGGTTGGACTGTCTCGGTTCGGTTCGCGTGTGTTGCGTTCGGGTCATGCTGCTCCTTTTTCTCAGAGGGAAGCGTTTACACTCCAGAGCAGAAGGGGGCGCTACTGCGCCCAAAGTAACCACCAGTAGGAAACAAGAAGAAGAAGCGAAGCAGCGTAGCCGATAATAAAAATCAGACGTGCCAACAGCAGTTTCTAGGTCTGCTGTATGGACCACTTTGCATTTAGAGGGAAGCACATGTTGGAATTAGCACTGTTTCCTCTCTGGCAATGCCAGAATCTCACCTACTTTTAACCTCAGACTGTCACAATAATGTATCAAATGTCACACTGCTTTTTTCTTTCAGTTTTAACCTGACTATACAAGACATAATAGATTTTCCTAACAATCAACATATACCGAACCGAACCCAAAACCGTGACCACGAAACCGTGAACTGAACCGAACCGTGGATTTTGTGAACCGTCCCACCCTAAGTTGTTATATAGTGTGTTTTTGATTAATTCAGGTGGTCAGATCGGTATTTCTCAGTTCACTTAGCAAGCAAAAAAATAAATAAAAAAGCAGGGATTCCGTTCTGATGTTGTCCGTTTTTCCCAGAAGAGGGCAGCATGGTATAACTTTAGCTAAAAGTAAATTCTTGGCAAATCAATTAGTTGCTATATTTTAGGGTGTTTAGTAAAAATAAATTTAAAAAGGGGAAAGAATAGACTCAAATAGCTGCCATGGTTTACATAGTCACCGTTGCTATGTAATGTGTTTTTGATTCATTCAGGTGGTCAGATTGGTATTTTTCAGTTCACTTAGCAAGCAAAAAAATAAATAAAAAAGCAGGGATTCCGTTCTGATGTTGTCGGCTTTTCCCAGAAGAGGGCAGCATTTAGCTAAAATCAAAT